CTCCGGATGAGCATTGGCAGAGCACATACTCCATGAAATCATGCTGGGGGTACTGTTTGGGGGTAGTGGACAAGTGCTTCCGATTGCAAGACTACTTCACTGGACTTTCATTGATCGATTTCCAGCACACCGGCTTCGTTACGCTGCGGAGACTCCGCATGCATTTGGCCCTCACTCCTGGCCAATTCAGAAACACTGGATTCGAGGTGCCGAACGAGCCAGAACATCCGCTTCGAACATGGGATGTGGCTTCGGGAGGGCAAGCGTTTGTTTGGGGATGGGTTGTGCGCACCAGTGCTAAGTACCTTGCAAAAGGTGATCGATTTGTTGCTCGTTCAGGCAAGTTTCAACAACAAAAGGAGGCCAGAAGGAAATAAATAGCACATCTGGAAGGGTGCTCGCCGATCCTCATGCCTCTGCCGCAGGCCTGCAACCGATCCGAGGCTGGGCAGAACCTACGTGCGAAAGGTCCTTGCGAGGAGAGGGCAGGAACGCCGGAAAAGCAGGGCCTGCTTTCGTTTCAGTCCAACTCACCCCATTCGGTTCTTGTCCATCCCCGGCCAACCATACAAATGGGGCTCAAAACGAGGCGGATGCATCGACCCAAATGAATGTACAAAAATGCAAGGCCCATGCACTGTCCAGCCCCACCCCCTCTCTCGCGAACGTCGTACCAAAACAGCCCTCAGCTCTGCGCGTGCAGGAAGCGCGCATGGTGCTCGAGGTGCTCGCCTCAGGGTCGGGCGAACTTCTTTCAACATGTCGAAATAACCCGCTTTCGGTTTCCCCAAGGGGCCAAGGTCCCGATGCTTAATGTGTTGTGCCCAAAACTCGGAAAATGTGCGAGCTTCAAGGGTCAGTTGAAGTCTGTGGAAACCTTGGCCAGCCTTGAATACTGCGGATGAGGGCAAATCAAGGTTGCCATGGTCTTTGAGCCTCATGGTGGAGTTGCCTTCCAAACCATCATCAGTTCCCAGGGTTGTCCAAAAACCCGTCTATTCAAAGGTTGACCACTATGCCAAGGAAAACCTTTGGTTCATTGCAATCAGCTTCGATATGTCTCTCTTTGGGGTCGCTTCCCCCATTTTGAGACATAATCATAGAGAGCGCGGGCTCATGGGGGGCGGGTGTTTGCAGTGTGTTTCGTGCTTGTTTTGCGTGTTTGAAACATTGAATTGCTGACAAGTCACATCTTCTTGCATTTGTGGTGACAACAATGAGTGAATGTGAGCAAATGCAATGGATAGAGGAGAAGCAACGCAGTGTTTTGATAGGCAACCGCTGCAGGGTCAAAAGTTGTTGAAAACAGTAAAATCTGACAGATGTATTACATGTCAAGCAAAATCCAGAGCTATTATAGAGCAGTTGGATGCCTGCTGCTGTGTCAAGCCAGGGTCGCTGCAATTATTTTACCATCTTTCCTGCTACACTGTTTGGCAATCAAACTGAGTTAGAATTCAAATAGAATCCTGTATGGAAAGCCAAGCTGGTCGGTTCTTCTAATTTGCCTGCGCTTAAAAGGAGAGACAAACAAATAGAAACTCAGGGAGAATGCAACCGCAATTCTATTGGTTTACAAGTCTGAGATTGCACCGCTTTAAGCTTAAATAATATCTTGATTAAATGGTTCGATTTAAAATAATATGTTGCATTCGAACTTAAACAGGTGGTCCTTTCCAAGTAGGACTTTAATTGCGCTTTAAATGGAATCTAACAAGGAAAGAGAAGCTTGTTGTAATTTGTAAGCCCCTCAAAAGGAGTGGAAAAAAACCGTAAAAACCAATGGAAAATGCAGATTCCATCCCAGTTGGTTTGCAAGGGTTGCTTTGCGAGGCTTTACATTTAAATGGGATTTCGACTAGACTTCAATTCAGTTGTTGAACAAATGCCTAAGTGGTTCAATTATGATTATTATGTCGAATCACATTCTAAATAGGGCTTCCTTTGCAAGTATGTAGGACTTTATTATTCTAGTTAGTTTGAATAGATTTTGGCTGTGGTTAGCAGGTGAAATGCCCAGGCTGATGAGAGATGTGTCCTTCTAGCGGAGACAGAAATGTACCTCCTTGCAGACCCCAAACCTCAATAACCAAAAAAACAAGACTATCTGCTGGGTTGCGTGTTTTGCTCTTTCTGGTTTTCTCGAGCTGCTTTTTAATACTCCGCCCAAAGTGCCAAAAACCTCGAGAACACCAAACAAACCAACAAAAAGCAAGACCCATGACCTCTTGCATCTGTTGGGGTGTTTGTTTTGTGTTGTTGGTGTCTCTTGGTGTTGGACAGCTTGCATTCATGTCAAAAACCAAAAACAAAACAACAAAAAACACACAGCAAGACCCATGGCCGCTTGGATCTGTTGGGGTGTGCTTTTCTTTGTTTGTTGTGTTGGTGCTTGTTTTGTTGATGTTTGTTTCTTTGCTGTTTTTCACTGTGCAAAAACCCACCTCGATGAGGTGCCCTTCTGTAACCATATGAGCTGCCAACATAATGTAGCAAATGACCAGGTAAATACAAGGTCATTGGGACAGTCCCAACCATTAAAAGGTGCTACCATTCTTACAAGTCACATGACCAAAAAAAAGCTCCCAGGGTGCCTTCAAACCGGACCCAAAAGAACACATCTTGAGGATGTGATGGCCAGCCAGCCGCTTCTTTGGGGCGGGGGGCAGGCCAGCAGGTGGCTTTTGCAACCTGTTGCCGGCACGCCTGGACAATTGAAAGACGTGACTTGTTTTGCATCCAAGGGTCGAATAAAGGTGGACATGAAGTAATAGGAGTGGTCGTAGCCAGCTTGCATCCTGGAAGCATATCGTGATGACAAGGCCAAACTGTGGCTGCTGAAATTGATAACGGAGTCTGGGGGTGAATTGTCAAATTTCACCCCAACCCGAAATGATACTAACAAAAAATAACACAAACAGCAGACCCCAAAAGCAATTGCAAATTCCCCGCTACGCGGGGTTCTTGTGGAAGCAACTTTAGACCCTACAAGAATACCATCGTAAAACCAACAACCAGAGAACCGGGGCCACCGCACACCGCCTGGGACACGCTCGAAACACAACTAAAACAGCACCGGGACATCGCCAGGACGTCGCAGGGGCACCACAGGTAAACCGCGCCCTGCAATGCAACACCACGCCACCACGCCAGCAGAACACAGCGACAAGGACAGCACGGGAGCACCAGTGCTGACTCCACCGGAACACCCAACACCGCTAGACCGCCAGGCACCGCCGAGACACCCACACCGGCACACCACCGGCATCAGTGGGACAGCACCGGAACACCAAAATACCACCGGGACCGGCACACCACCAGCACAAGGCTGGGACAGCACCGGGACACCGCCGAACACCACCGGGACACCGTCAGGACATGGAAGCACACCCAAGACACCACGGGGAACACCACCAAAACACCACAAGGACACAATCCCAGAACAACGCCGGGACACCGCCAGGGCACCGATCCCAGAAACAATAGCCGCACAAACACTTTCCAGGTACCAGACTCCACAACTGGACTGTTGAGAAACTGAGGGACCCCAAGAAAGAAACACTCATTACACCAGCATAGACCCCAGATAGCGAAAAACATGCCGACGATTGTACACCCGCCCGCCCCGTCACGAACACCTCCAACAGCACCCCAAAGAGCATCCCAAACTGCATGCCCCGTGCGCCCTGAACAGCACCCCCAAACTGCACCCCCAAACTGCACCCCCAAAGCACCCAGCCGTCAATCTCGCGAGAATGCGCAGGCGCCGTCACCCGCACCTAACAGCACACCAACCAAGTAGCATCCCAAAGCACCACCCGCACCAGCACCCCAAACAGCATGCCTGCTTGCACCCTACCGTCAATCTTGTAAAAATGCGCCCGCGCCGTCACCTGCATGTACGCTAGCACCCAGCCGTCAATCTCACCAGCACCTCAAACAGCGCCCCAAACAGCACCCCAAACCCAAAAACAGCACCTACACCAGCACCCAAACTGCACGCCCCCTAGCACCCTCCCATCAAGCTTGCAAATCACGTTCCCCTTTTTATTAGAAGTTAGAACCCCTATAGCTTTCAGCTATCTGGGGAATCATAGGCGAAATCGGTCGCCAACCACAACCATTTTGATCGCTAGATACGAAAGACACAAAAGTCGTACAATAGGGACCAAACAATGGCTCCTCGGTTTCCCTTTTCCTTCAAAACACCCCCGAATCCCAAGTCCTTAAGTAGAAACACAAATCTGGCCAACGAATCTGGGCAAATCCTGGTAGGAGCTCGTTTCATCGTTTCGGACCATCAAACAGCTGCCTTACTGGTACTCATCCCACCCAAAAATGAGAAAGGACCCCGTGTGGGTTGGTATTCAGAGAGAACCTCGGATCCGAAAAGCCATCTTGCTGCATCCTTCATTGGACCACACTCCCAGAGACCCTCCGGAAACAAGGCAATCGGATTGAGTGGAGCCACCAAATGGCATTTGCTCCCAAACGGCGCCCTGTGACTGACATATCAAAAGTTTGGTGCTTGGAAACGGCAAGCGTCAAACTTTCAGGGATAAGTGCATGATGCTGACTGCGTCTAGGGTGTTTCAAAGTAAGAACTCTTGGTGCTTGCTTTTAACCCACCGCTTGAGGGTGTGTGGCTGTGATAGCCACAATCAACATTGGTTTCTGTTTTGGACATCTTTTGGGAGTTGGAATACGTTTTTGGAGCTGATTCTAGTGGAACTATTTTAGGACCCCCCCCCCCCAATTTGGGTTGCCCTAGCTGTAGACAAAGGCCTGATAGGTTTGGGCGAACTGGTTTGGGTGAACCGGGATTACCAAAACCAACCGAACACCCAAGCGAAAGCAAAGGGCTTCCACGGAGCCAACAGCAGCCAGACTAGCCAAAGCAAAACGCGAAAAGAGAACCGCCATCCGGGCATCACGTCGCATCACGTCGCATCACGTCGCATCACGTCGCATCACGTCGCATCACGTCGCATCACGTCGCATCACGTCGCATCACGTCGCATCACGTCGCATGCGTCGCTCCTGAAGGTCACCGGCACCTTGGCCTTCTGAGCCGCCTCCATGAAGGCCAGTGGCTGCAGCTGGTTCACGTCACCCACCAGGAAGCTGTCCGCCTAAACTGTGGCCCGGATGTCAAACCCACCCGCAGAACACTTCACAGAGCACAGGCCCTTTTGACCGCCACTTAGCATTCGTAGGGTACCCCGGATTCACCAAACCAAACAGGCTGGAGCAAAGTGATATCCCACGCATCGCAACGCCCCCCAAAAGCGAGCTACTCTGTAAAAGTGTACCTTTCACCGTCACCTCTAACAGGGACCTTATGGTGGATTCCATTTCAGCTGGAGGGTACTCTCCGAAGCAGCCAAAAAAACTTGTTTGCAAATATATCATTTTGCGGAAAGAAACATGAATGGCGTTCCATATTCATTTGTAGGGGAGTTTCGCAAAAACCAAAGGACACAGCCAAAGAAAACCGAAAAATGAACCTAGTGGGAGGACGTACGATTCCTGAATGGACAAGCCCAAACTGTTCCGGGTTGGCCTTTGACCTCGGCAAAAAGTCAATCGGCTTTGCCAGTAGTGGGGAAACTGTTAGTGTTTTAAAGGTTAATAATCCGTTCCCCCTATTAATAAATACGGCCCCCCCCTATTATAAATAAATCCACCCAAAAATATACATTTTTAATTGGGGTTTTTGGGTTGTGTTTTTTTTGCTTCTCCAACAATGTGAGGGTTCACATAGGATTTGGAGGAAATGGATTGAATTGTAAGGTCCGCGAGTAAGCGGTTTAATAAGGAAATTTGATGTATCATTCTAATTATTTGTTTACGGAAAGCTACGGAGCCGCGCGAAAAAAAAAAGAAGTCAGAGAGTCAGGGAGTCAGGGACAACCAGGGACAACCTTTTGGGGAGAGAGTCAAGAACAACCTTTTGGGGAACCCACCAAAATAACCCAACCTTTTGGGGAAGCCAGCTTTTGGGGAAGCAACCTTTTGGGGAATTGAGGAACCCACCTTTTTAAAAGTGGAGCTGGAAGCTTGCTAAAAGTGCCCCCTAATAAGGATTCCAAGACTTTAGTATTGGTTTAGTATTGGGGCAATTGAAAATCAATTGTACGGAGTGGAAATCTGGTCTCGGGCCCCGGATTTGCATTTATTATTAATGGGGGTCATTCATTAATAGGGGGAGGAGATTAAGCTCAGGTGATATCCCCAACAGAATGCGGTTCTCTTTTTAGTGCTCGCACCACCCCGCAGCCCTTGCAGAACCTCGTGGAAACCTCATGGAACCCTCGTGGAACCCTGGTGGAACCCTGGTGGAACTCTCGTGGAACCTTACCGCAGGGCCGCCCCGGACCATCCCGGAGCCTATCTGGGCTGAGACCCCAAAGCTTTCAGCTGTTGGGGCAAAAAGATATGTCCGTCAAACCGCAACCAAGCTGTTTAACGTGAAAAGAAAGACAGTGTCTCCCCAAATAAGGCTGTGGCTGTTGTAGCTTCCCTACCTAAAGAACCGAGCCAAGAAGGCCCTCCTCTCAATGCCCTGTCGATAAAGCGAGCCGCCGTGCCACAGTCGCAGAGGATGTGGAGGTCCTTGCCTGCGATTGTGACGAATTCCAGAGACTTGTTTTTCGCGTCTCTTATATTGTACATACATGTGCATACATGTGCATACAGGTGCTATCGCATTGTGAATGTGCATGCATATACTGATACATACGTGTGTGCCCCGTTTCGTCACTGTGGTACAAGCTTTCGTTTGAGTGCTCTGTTGGCGAGTAATCGCGGCTAAGCTGGAGCACTCGCTCTAGGGCTAAACTTTTGGGTGGGGTTTGCGCATAGCGCCAAAGCGTTGGCGCATTGAATAGGCTCCATTCCCAGACACTGACCTATTCGGCTTCCTTTTTGAAGGCCCACGGCGACTGGGTGTTTAGCTCAAACTGTGCGACGTGATGGTTTGACGTGGCACACCACACTTCATACGTTGATCCAGAACCTCGAAAGTAACGTGCCAGGCACAAAGATGTTGCCAATTGCTGTTGCTTCTTGGCCATTGCCTGTCCTTGGGACCTACAGGCCAAACAGAAAGCGGCCATGACATATTTGCCATGGGAGCTGCTTCTTTCTCCATTGGAGACGGCAATTTGACATCAGTGTCGGTCGCGCCAAAAGGCCAAAAGGAGAGCCACCTCAGTTTTAACGCAGGGGCTATACGTGCATGCTGCATGCATATAACAGTTCTGTTTGTGGAGTCTGTCAGTTTGCCAACCCAAAACACGGGTTCCCTACAAACGAATCTTCACCACGAGTGAGGTTGCAAACCCTTTTTGTGAGATCGCGACGATTTGCGCAGCTGGCCAAGCAACGGACTTCCACTTACGGCAAATAAACGCCTAGGAATCAAATACTGCATTGTAGCTCACCCTGTTTGATGCCTTTGGCCGCCTGGAAGGTTTAGAGAATCGACCGTAGTTTCGTCTAGTCAAGAAGTCCTTTGTGCCTCTACAAATAATTGTCTCCATCTTAACCAGAATAATGTGGATGTGCGATACAGTGTAAAGACAACGCAAGACATGTGCAAAGATATTGCAAAGTCTGTGCGAACACCCTCGTGTAAGCATGCGTAACCCTTCAAACACAGTCGGCCGGCCTTTGTAATCCGCAATGAGCTCAGTGGCATCGTATTGCTTCCAGCTCTGCGGGGCATCGGTGGATCCGTTGGCGACAGAACAGTCCCAGTCCCGGTTCCAAGTCTTCTCAAAGGAAATCACCCTGATGATATACCGGGATAGTTGGGGTTCACCAGAGGGGGTAAGGCAGTTCGGAGCTTGGCTTTGCGGGGTGTGGGGGTTGGAGGGTTGGTTCTGAAGGGGGACTGGTGGTGATGGGGGAAGGCCTTGCAAACGCCGCCTCGCAACAGCAACACGGAGAACTTAGGGCGGAGAAGCTCCCAACCTGCATTTGGCGCCGACTTTGCTCACGTGACCTGAAACAAGAAGATCAATATACTACTTGAACAAATCAGTGCACTTGTTCGCAGAATGCCGATGTTCCAAGAAACCACCTGCAGCAAATGGAGGGTGATTGCAAGGTCTGCAAGCCTGCGAGTAGATATAATTCTTGATGGGCTACTCATCAAGCAGCAAAAGTGTCAAAAAGTCAAACCCCGAAGAGGAAAGATGCTTCGACGTTCCTGCCAGGAAAGGCAAACCAAGCACACACACCGCATACGCGCTTTGCAATTTCAGGCCCGCACCTCAAGCCCACGGAAGACAAACCCATCAGTCACAAGCCCGTTGAAAATCCTATGATTCATCTTAAGCAGTCCAACGGGCCACGGTCCCCACCTTGTCACTTCAGCCATGTTGACCCACTGCCCTCACAAGAAACATGTTGTGCGCAAACCCTGTACGGAAGAGCCAACACCAAACGCTGCTGTTGGGAGAGTAACGTCCATTCGGGCCTCGCAGTGGCCGGGCTCTGTATGCATTTGGCTCTCAATGATAAAAGCTACAGTAGCAAGGTGTGTCTCCAAAGTGGAACTACAAAAATTGGGAGGTTATGCGTGGCGTTCCTTCAAAGGCATCGCAAACAGGGTGTTGGTGAAGTGCTCTGCAAAGCTGACCCTCCCACATGGACCCACCAAGGAAATGTCCCTGGAGGGAAATAGCCAGAACCAGGACGTTGACTGGGAGAGCTTCCTGCATTTCTTTCAAAGAAACACTCGAAAGCCAATCTTGCCGGCATGCCACTCTTATTTCTTTGTCTGATTTAGTGGAAACATTCGCAGAGTTTGACAGAAAGCGGGATGGTTTTTCTGGGCTATCTAGAAGGGGTGAATGACCAAGGGTGAACTAAAGGGTCCCTAGGGCCCAACCAGGCGGTCACCAGAGTTGCGACAGGGGTTCACCAGAGTGTACCAAAGGCCTTAGAGCCTTTCAATAACCTCCCGACAACAAGCGCACCTTATTTCCTCAAGACGCCTCAAGATCCACGTTGGAAGCAGCCCGAGGGGTTTGCAAGGGACTCCTCGATCAGTCGTCGACTGTCTGCCTGCTGGTCCTCGCCCAGGTAGAACTTGAAGGCCTTCTCGCCCCAAGGCACCTTCGTGGGGTTGCAGATGGGCGCGAAGGCAGACACCGAGGTGTACCTGCTGGATGTTTGAACCCCCCATTTGGTGCAAGGAAGTGGCAGTGTGCAACAACGATGTCCGGTAGGTGTGGGGCGTTGAGGGTACAAAGGAGCAATCTTGAATACCCTGAGCAGCATTGCGCCATGTCAGACAAACAACTCTCCGCATTTGTCTGAAAGCTGCATTTTAGTGGTTGCAAACGATCCATTTTCAGGCGGAGTCCTAATTCATCAATACGGTCTGGATTAACTAAGGTTGACATTGCACATTCCCCATTCCAGCCGCAGAATGATCAAAAACATGTTCTTTGGCAGCCCCCAGTTGAATGAATGGGACAATAAAAGAAAACAGCTAAAGCACAAAGCACTTCCGAGTGAAGACACCATCCCATGTCACACCCACACAAGAACAACGAGAACAAAAAAAAAGAACAAAAAAACGCCACCCAACAATTCCCCGCCCCCCCCCCAAAAAAAAAAAAAAACACACACACACACATATAAAAACTCGCCCACGCCATGTGCGAGTCTGCCTGTCCGGGTTCTTCATGGCAATGGTCAGCGCGCCATGGCCGCCCATGGAGTGCCCTGAGATGGACCGCTTCGCGGACACCGGGAAATTGGCCTCGACCGGATTGGAAATCCAGCCAAGAACAGTCATGTGTGCAGCATCGTAATCGTTGGCTAGAACCAACTAGCTTAATCAAACAGAGGGGTAAACACTTATGCCAACTCACAAAAGATAGACAAGCAAGTAGAGAGAGCGATAGATAGGTAGCAAGAAAAATAGATTGCTAGACAGATAGATAGATAGACAAACACGTAGAGAGATCGGCCGATAGATAGATTAGATAGATAGATAGATAGACAGACAGACAGACAGACAGACAGATAAGATAAGATAAGATAAGATAAAATAAGATAAGATAAGATAACATAGATAGACAGACAGACAGAGAGATAGATAGATAGATAGATAGATAGATAGATAGATAGATAGATAGATACATAGATAGATAGGTAGATAGATAGATAGATAGATCGATGGATAGCTACATACAATAGATAGATAGATAGATAGATAAATAGATAGATAGATAGATAGATAGATAAATTAGATTAGATTAGATAGATAGATAGATAGATAGATAGCTAGATGGATGGATGGATGGATGGATTGATAGATAGATAGATAGATAGATAGATTAGATAGATAGATTAGATAGATAGATTAGATAGATAGATAGATAGATAGATAGAAAAAATAGATAGATAGATAGGTGGGTAGGTAGATAGATAGATAGATAGATAGATACAAAAATAGATTAGTGGATTAGATAGATAGATAGATGGATGGATGGATGCATGGATAGATAGATAGATAGATATATAGATTAGATAGATTAGATAGATTAGATAGATAGATAGATAGATAGATGGATAGATACATAGATAAGATAAGATAAGATAAGATAAGATACAATAAGATAAGATAAGATAAGATGAGACGAGATGAGATCAGATAAGATGAGATAACATAAGATAAGATAAGATAAGATAAGATAGATAGATAGATTAGATAGATAGATACATAGATAGATAGATAGATAGATAGGTAGATAGATAGACAGACAGACAGACAGATAGATAGATAGATAGATACATAGATAGATTAGATAGATAGATAGATAGATAGATAGATAGATAGATAGATAGATAGATAGATAGATAGATAGATAGATAGATAGATAGATAGATAGATAGATAGATACATAGATAGATAGATAGATAGATAGATATATACATAGATTAGATAGAAAAACTAGATAGATAGATAGATAGATAGGATAAGATAGATAGATAGATAGATCGATGGATAGCTACATACATTAGATAGATAGATAGATAGATAGATAGATAGATAGATAGATAGGTAGATAGATAGATTAGATAGATAGATACGATAAGATAGAAAGATAGATAGATAGATAGATAGATAGATAGATAGATAGATAGATTGGATAGATAAATTAGATAGATAGATTAGATAGATAGATAAATTACATTAGTTAGATAGATAGATAGATAGATAGATAGATAGATAGATTAGATTAGATTAGATTAGATTAGATTAGATTAGATTAGAAGAGATTAGACTAGATTGGATTAGATTAGATTAGATTAGATTAGATATTATTAGATTAGATTAGATATTATTAGATTAGATTAGATTAGGTTAGGCTAGATTTGATGAGATTAGATTAGATAGATAAATAGACAGAATAGATAGATTAGATAGATTGGATAGATTAGATAGATTAGATAGATTAGATAGATTCGATAGATTAGATAGATTAGATAGATTAGAGATAGATTAGAGATAGATTAGATAGATTAGATAGATTAGATAGATCTGATGGATTAGATAGATTAGATAGATAGATAGATAGATAGACAGACGGACAGACAGAGACAGAGACAGAGACAGAGACAGAGACAGAGACAGAGACAGAGACAGAGACAGAGACAGAGACAGACAGACAGACAGATATATAGATATATAGATAGATAAATAGATGGATAGACAGACAGACAGACAGACAGCTAGCTAGCTAGCCAGGCAGATAAATAGATGAAAGGGTACATAGATAGTTGGAAAGAAAAAGACGAGAACGAGACAGAAGTTCCACAACCACAGCGCTGCAGCGCTGCAACAGCAAGAAAGGGCAAGCAATAGACAGCATGGCACAGGAAGAAAACGGCAAAAAAGGGAAACCAAGAAAGCAAGGAACATCCATCACCAGCCAGCATCTCCAGCATCGCCAGCATTGCCCAGAAAATGCAGGTGATGCTTGTGATGCGTGTGGTGGTGCTGCCGGTGATGCTGGTAGTGTTGGTGATGCTGACACAATGCGACCAACTCACAACCAACCAGCCTCGACACAGGCTGGCAGTTCCTTCACAATGAAGTCGTACCTCTGCGCGATGCGTGTTGTTTCCTTTCAATTGTGGAGATGGGTTAAAGGCAAGCCAAAAAGAAACCAACCACTTTTGGGTCTTTCAACCCGCCCCTTTGACGCACACGAATTTGGTTGCCAATGTATTCGCTGCGCTGAAGAACGGCAGATCCCTTCGACTCCCAAAAGAAATTTCGGGTGGTCTTGGACACAGTAGTGGGTTCGACTGACTTCGAGGGGTGAGGCTAACACTTGGACAAAGTTACATGTTGTAGTGGGTCTTGTACTTGTCCGTTGTGGCATTCAAGTAGAACCCAGCTCCAACTCCGAAGTCGTACGTGTGCGGTTCCTGTTCTGCTGACGGAGGCTTTGGCAGGCACATGCCATGGGAGGACACTTCAGCCGTACAACGCAAAAGCAGGGCAGCACTCCTTGAGGCATTCGAGTTCCCCAATCATATCCACAATAATGTTTCCTGCAGCCGTCTGGGAGGCATGCGAGTTCCCCAATCATGTCCACAAAAATGTGTCCTGCAGCCGTCTGGAAGTTGAAACCCTCAGTGAAACGCGGTACTAGAAGGGCCTTCGAAGGGCAGAAACGATTAGAATGGAGTTGCGGGGCAACATTGAAAAAGAACTTCTGAGCATGAAAGAATCATTTGTTCAGTCATTTGGCCGCTTGTATTAAGCAATGTTCCGCGGGCCCCTTTCCACAGTTACGCCGCAACACTGCCTGCGGCCAACCTCCTTCTGAGCCCACAGGCGATCTATCTGACCAGTCCTCGTCTGGCACGCCGTCTCCGCGCGGTGATGTGTCCGGCATCACCAAGACAACCTGCGGTATCTGGAGGATATTGGCCGTTGGCCGTTGACCTCTTCAAAGGAGACCCCATAGGCCACTCCACCCTCCAAACCAAATTTTTATCGTTGGAGAGGTCCCAACAGACGGCGTTGGTCCAGATTCACATCAGCCAGCGGACCCACAAAGCAGTGACAATGCACAGGGCCCTCACTGCAAAGCGAATGTCAAAAGGGGTCCAGGAGGCTCGGACAAGGCTTAAGCCCTTTCTTCCGCATGATTTGTGTGTGTGGCAAAGAAAAAGATCTGTGCGAACCACCATGCACTAATCTGAATTCAGGGATCCATGAGTAAGGGACCTTCATGAGGGGGGCAGCATCTCGTTTCACCCCTGATTTAGGAATCACTTGCCAAAAAAAGAGTACAGGTAAAACCGGTTTCTATCATTGACTTTTTGGGGGGTCCTCCCCCCCCCAAAAGCCAAAAGGTACTTGTTCTACAATTTGTGGTCCGCATATCCCTTCTGAAACCAAAACGCTATGGAAACTCCTGGGCACTCCAAAAAAGCAAAACCCCGCTTTCGCCATGTTTGACCCCAAAAGCGGGGAGCCACCCGGTCCCCGGGTCCCGTTCCCTGGTCCGCGGCCTGGTGGTCGCAGGCTGCCTGGAAGGCGCCGGCCTTCTGGGAGAAGTTCTCGTCGGTGCAGGTGAGCCCCGAGAGCCAGTAGACCTGCGCTGGGAAACCTCGTGCCCTTTGAGAACCAAAGAAACCTGCTGCACAAGACCAGGAAAAAAAGAGGCTCAAACAAGGGTGTTGAAACATTGCACAAGACGAGAGCTCCCACTGGGCACAATCCACGCCAGGCACCAGCTGGTTGAGCGTCTCAGCATCCACCAACCTTCCTCCATCCCAATGGATGCAGGTATGTTTCTTTTTCCTAATATCACCTGAAAAGGACATACCGCAAAGGACCGAAAGGACATGGCAGGGTATAAAGTGCTGAGCAACCATGATTTTCACCCACTTGTCATGGTTGTGCGTACCCTGGAACCAGGGTTATCAATCTCTTGCTAGGCGCCCTGCACCTTCAAGTACACGCGGGCCGAAGATAAGGGTGGAGGTTTTGGGCATCTGAATAGGACAAGGTTCACTGTCTTCCCCAAGAGAAATATTGCCCTCCTGTTTCTTTTGGGTTCATGAGTCAAACCAAACCGAAACCCGTGAATCTATCTATCTTCAACCAAACTGACCTAAAGGACCCAGCAAACACTTGGGAAACTAAATTCAACATGCAAAAGAAAATCATACTGAGTTGGCGTGTTGTGTTGGCTATTCACATGCAAAGCTGCAAAGGAAGAAAGAACAAAAAAAATCTGGAAACCGTGAAAACTGCCTGAGTTGCAGCGTTGCACAAGGTGTGTTGTTTTGATGTCCCAAGTTTTGCTTTGGTGCTCGCAAAGTTGGTTCGGATTGATAGAATGCAAACAGCACAAACACGCTTGCCGCGCAATGTCTGGTGCTTTGTTGCTGGCCGGCATGCAAAAACCAGAACTCATGTTAGTTGTTCGATTGTGTCAAAATTGGAAAGAGAAAAACACAACAATTAAACCAACAACGTAGAACACGGTGACTTTGCAAAACCAGGAGTTCTCCTGCTCCTCGGCTTTACAAATAAACTTCCATCGACTTGCTTCCAGAACACCACAGGCAGCTTCTTGTACTCAGAGGTGTCTGGCAGGTACGCGGCAAAGATGGTCTGGGTATTGCCAAGGCTCCTGGCAAAGAAAAAGAATGAGTCTGGCCCTGCCCCCTTGACTTACAACATATATATATATATATGTATATCATATATCATATATATATATGTATATAAATGGTACTCCCCCCCCCGAAAACAAAAGAAACTACCGTGTTCAAGGAGCTAAAAACCGCTAAAAACCGCTAAAACCAGCTAAAAATGCAAATCTGGGGGGGAAGGGGGAGAACCACAGTAGCATAAATGATAGCCATATGGATCTGGACGTCACAGGCCTGCAAGAATCCGTCTGTAAGATGTCAAGACAATATGCTCTGGAAATATTGAATCTTGAATCCCATGTTTGTTAAAAACAAGACAAAGCAAAAAAGCCTTGAAATTGAAAAATATGGCAACGGCAAAACATGACAGTGGAACAGTGGAAATGTTGCACAGCATTTGGCGCAACAGTTTGGCCAACATTTGGAAAAGCTGCCAAAAAACCCAACTTCAGAGAAGAAAGAAGAAACGGAACCAATCCTGCCCCACCACGTCTGACAAGTTGTTTTTCCTCGCTTTTTGTTCCCTTTTTGGGCCAGTGGAACTGTTGCGCAGCATTTCCCAAATGGTGCGCAACATGTGCGAACCAAGCTGAGAGCCTCGGAAATGTTGCGCAACATGTGTGACTCTGTTCAAACAGTTTTTTGGGGGGTAGCTTGAAATCAGGATTCCCAATAGTTGTTCTGCGCAATCTCGGATCTTGAGTGCAGCCCAAGCAAATCTTTAAGTGTTTTCAGAAAAATTGTGCATTTTCCACAGGCCCTAATGTTTGATCTAGTAGGTGGCCAGCTTGATCCTCACCAGCAAGGGGAAAAGATGCTTGACCTTTCTTTTGCGGGGCGGAACCATGATCTGACACATGCCGAAAATGCCGCATTTTACTACAGTTTTGCGAAGGAACAGATCCATGTTCATTGCAATGCTTGGCCGTGATTCTTGGCTCAGTTCGTGCTTGATTAGTTAAACATCCGTGGATTTAGATAACTTGCAATGTAATAAGTGTTCTTTGAACGCACAAGGAAATGCAGTTGTTCAAAGCTGAATTTGCATTGAACTTGAAACAGCATTTTAGTTGGGATTTCTTCTCATAACTGATGTTCAACAAATGTGATTGACTGTATTCCAGAAAATCATCTAGATAAACAAAGCATAAACTCGAGAGGATTTGCGTTTTGCAGAGTTGAATTTGAATGCAAATGGATCTCCGGAAGGATATGGAGCATCTTTACAAATGATTGGATTTCAATTTCAATCAGCGATTTAGATGGGAATGAATTCATCTCCCCAAAATTGAAGGTGTGCGGCTTTTCCCGGCGAAATGACCAGAGTAAACCCATGATCACAGAGCTGTTCCAGGTATGAAGCAGCCAAAGCGTACTTTGCATACTGCTCTTATAGTGAACAGTTGTGTTTTGTTGAACAGGAGCCGCCAACCGCTTGATAAGATTCAAGATTCAAGATGCAGGACAAAAATGCCGGCGCAACTGGGGAATATTGAATCCCATTTACCTAAGCGTGGCTTTGAGTCCTCTCAAGACTCGAGATTCTGAAGAAAGATAGGGCATCTGTAATTTCAAAGCACTGAAAAATGCATTTTTTGTGGGTTTTGAGAGGGGGGCAGCATAGATATCTACATATACATATATATATATATATTTATGTGGGGTGAAAAAATATATATATATATACAGTATACGAATCGTGAAAGGTTGCCCTTTGGGTAACGTTTGAAAGGATCCATTCATTTCAGGCCCTGACACGCCGGCGGTTGCTCCCAAAAGCCACCCCCAAGACATGCTCCATCAAACTTCCGACCTGGATGTAATCTCGCAGCGCTTCAGCATCCCTGAGGCGGGGATGCAAAGCGGACCATTCTACATCCCGTGATCAGTCATTATATTTTCCGGGGATTGCACCATTTTGGGGGAACCTTCAACCGACTGCGATGTCAAGACATCCGTGTGCCAGGGTCGAGTTTTCTGGGCGTGGTACAAAGGCTAGAAAAAATACATGACCAACTGGGATGTAGAATGCACCGTCCAAGAAAAAAGAACCATATCCGTGCTATCCAGCACAGATTGGAGTCTTTAGGGTACTGTCTGGAGATCACAGCCACCAAGCTGTTCCCTACCAAAAGATGACCTGCCTGAGTAACCACAAAGCTGACCTGCCTGAATAGGGAAGCCAAATGGATTTCATGAGGATATGATGAAGGCGACGTCAAAAAAAGCGTGCAGCTTCTTGAAAGTGCATGGGAAGAACGTCTCGGAGAAGTATACCTCGCCTGCAATATCATTCATCCCGCGCTGGTTCTGTGTGTGTGTGTGTTTGTGTGTGTGTGTTTGTGTGTGTGTGTGTGTGTGTGTGTGTGTGTGTGTGTGTGTGTGTGTGTGTGTGTGTGTGTGTGTGTGTGTGTGTGTGTGGTGGTGTGTGTGTGTGTGTG